GAACCAGTAACTATCCGTGGTACTCAGTGGGCGGACGACATGGCACGTAAAAGAACACGAACATGTCATGGGTTGTCCACAATGAAGCTTATTGCCGTCGCTGAAAGTTAGGTACGAATCGGTGCTCAGAGTCAACTCAACACTTTCGCTACGGTCGCGGTAAACACGTTCCTGAGCGTACGGCGTCAGCTGGATCATGCGCTCCAAATGAGACGGTAACTTCGCACCTACCGGTCGACTGCGCACAAGCAGGAGGCTAACCAGTCTTCTGCAGTTGGCTTCCAATTGCTCGTTCTTGTTGATAATGGTCTAAACACGGGCGAGCAACGAGGAAAACTCAGTTAGTTTCCACTTAATGTACCTCTTTGTAGATTCGACCCAGTTAGTGGTTTCATTACCAAAGGTTACAGTATGCTTCTGAGCGTGCTTCGCTCAGTTACTCAGGTCGGACAACGAATGCTGTCTGAGGTATGATCAGTATGCCTGGCTGCGGCTTATTGTGCTTGTTGTATAAGCCTCAAACTCAATCACTCCAGTAAAGTACACCATTCGCTTGGACCAGGGAAACAAAATTATTTGTCCGATTGAGTTGCTTCTCTAAGTTTATTAATCCTGGCTTTGAAAACTCGTAACACATGAAAGGAACAAAATGACGGTGACGTTAGGCATGGCTGCCTTTGTGCTACATAATTTGGACATATTCTTATCAACCACAATCATGCTGACAAAATTTACGGCTATATTATAACATTCTTGTGGCTCATTGCGGATAAAGGAGTAAGAGACACTACGACCAACACCGCCGTTGCCATTTGTGATTACCACGTCCTAGGTGGTGGCCACCCCTGTCACACTGATTCTACCCGCAGGACATCACCGTACTTCGCAAACAAAACCGCGCAGGTGCACGGAAGTAAATGGAAAACATTCGAATTTTCATTATCATACATACATCTTATCATACAGCCATGGGTCCAAATAAGCGCAAGGCCTCTCGCATACCCTAAAGATCACAAACAGGATTGTCCAAGTGGCGCAGTTTATCTCGCAGAATCCAAACATCATCACCGGTCAGGTCAATTCTATGGGCTTTCAGGAAATGGCCACGGATTTCCATCGACGACTCAAGACACCTCAGCAAAACAAAAACCATGGGTTCCTGTTCATCATTCAGATGACGGTTGCCAGCGTACAATTGCCAGTCAGACCTTCGCAGATCGTGAGGATGTCGCATGTTAGGACTAATGATTACAAAGCGATCGTCACAGTGATCCACACGCCTGCGGGACCGGCAGTCGAAGGTGGCGTACCTAAACATAAGTGAACTGAATGGTTGTGCAGATGATTATCAAAATACCGATGACCATGCATTTTAACTTACTGGGTAACAATCCGCAGTAGTATATATTTGGATTCGGCATAGTAGGCGTGGGCCTGTATACAAGCCAAGCACAAAAACAAGCTAAACAAAACACTGCACCGTCCAGTGGGACCGTAACGATGGATAGAATTAGTTTGAAAATTAACGTAATACACTGCAAAATGGTCACCCGACTAAGGAAGGTTTCTTAATCTCCGATGCGTTTTATCTCATTCTTTAATATGGTAGCAAAGCTCGAGGTTCGCTGTATAAAGTCAAGTAGGTGACTTGAGTTAATGGCCTCAAAGTCAGCGAAATCTATGAGTCACTACTCTTACTGTAGCCAGATTTTATTAGGAGGAAGTTCATGAAATCTGTTCTATGAAAATTGGGTGCTAAACTGATTCGACAATCTCAGTTGAAGATTATATAAATTGGATAGTACTGAAGAGCACTTCCGTGAAACTGGGTTAAACAGAACAGAGCAACGCCTCAAACTGAGGGCCATTCAAACGAATTTGGTTAATTCGTTTGGGGTTTTATGTTGCTGTGATTGTTACTGCAACTGTAGTGCTACATACACCGACCACGGGCTATACAAAAGGGTGACACAAAAATGATTCCTCAAAACGTTCACACGACAATCCTACACATAGTGAACAGAAACAAGACGAAATCATGCCATAGCATTATTCATGCTCTGGGAAAACAGTAAAATGCAGGCCATTTTAGACATAATTTGGGATCTTCTAAACGGTCTGTTGTCAAGGTCTGTTGTCAATTAAGGGTGTTTGCTGGGTGAATTTAATTCCAAAAGTCATCTCAGAGGGGCTTGGTAAACAAGTAATCCCTTCTGAAACGATGACTACTCAATCGGTTTCAAACTTTACCAACTGATTAATTCCAGTGATGAAGGTGTGAATATTACTCCGAGATAAGTTTTTCCAGACTGTCAACATCCAAGATATGGGTTAATATCGATACCCGAAAAATAATTATCTGTGTGCTATTGGCTAATCGCCTGCGGAGCGGAATAAATCTAAAGAAATGATACAAAGAAGTGCTGTGGGCAATGGCAAGAAGCGTTTATTTGGATATTAAAATATGGGATAACCTATACTTATATACGGTCGGCCGGCCGAGTATGTACACTCCCGCGCGGCACTTTCAGAAATCCAGCGCGCTAGCTCTTTCTCCATGGACTCTACGCAACGATCACGTTAGTGGCATTATTCTCATGGAGTTCCTGAACCTGTGAATGCGGACGCATCAGAACAGTCGGAGTTTCGGGATATTAATTTTTCGCTGCTGGCAATGGCAATGGTAAGTCTCGGTTGAGGCAAGTAGTTCTCACTGTTCATACCTTATTACAGATTATCCCCTTCTGAGCCATTCACGATGAAAATGAATACATGAATGTGTGGCGAATGCACCAGTAAACTGAAACATGAAAGAATATGCAGATGACACCACTATCTTATGGCTTACTGCGGTACATGTGCTCCATTGAATTGAAATATCTGACTCACAAACGCGTACAGCTTGCCAGCAACCTGTGAGCAACCGACTGAGAAACAAAGAATTTATTTGGGTAACCAAAAAGATAACCGGAATGTTCTGCATTCACTTCCATATAGTCGGATGTGATCAGACCTAATACGAAACAGTAACTAGGATGCTGAGCACGCTCAGACGAGACAACGGAATCCATTTGAGTCATTGAGGACCATCGGTGCTCATCGACAGAATTCAGATACAAGAGCGATTGATAACCCTCATACCTGCCCGGGGACAGATCTGGAGGCTGTCCAAACCGTCAGCACCGGCAATACTGCCATCATGTGTCATGTGGCTCGCCCAAGGTGATGGTAACATATATGTAGTGGGGTGTCGATAGTAATGGGTCGGCGTTATACAGGACAAAAAAGGCTTTTTATCAAGATTAGAACGCGCACCTGGCATGACCTCTATAAAACTGAGGGGGGCGCTTTTGGCGAGTTAAGTGCGCCGTATTTGAAAACAATTTTGCGATGCGAAGCATCTTTCGGGGAATGTGACAGGAGTGCTTGTTAGGAAGAAACCTGGGAACTATCAAATTTAAGGGCCCTGTGCACACAGTTGATATATCAAAAAGTTCGGCTTTTTCGATGATTCCTAGTCATGTGGACTCGGTGGTTTCACTGAAGCAAATGAAATTCAGTTAATTGGGCTTGGAGACCACAAGATGCACTTGCATCACCAGTGGCACGGACGAACTGAACATGTGCTGTGCATAGTCGCTGTACAGTGATGCGGGTGTAAGCAACAGAATATGTAGCCCAACTGGAACGATCAAATTGTTTGATTGACCCTACGTGCGCCTGCGTTCTACCACTCACGCGAAAAGCCCCCGAGTTCCTTCCACAGCTTCGTACTGCGGAGCTGCAGTTAACTTCCAACAATATTCCACAGTTTCTGAAGGAAACATCTTCGTGAATGGGCTATGATGTTTGCGATCCCAGAAATAATAGGCAAAAAGCCCAGCTTCCATCGAAGTCATTCAGTTCACAAGTGAAATCGCATCTGTTCGACGTCATTCTGCATGAAGGAGTGCTTGGTATGTGGGTGCTAAAACAGTGATGCCATTATTCTTTTTGTTAAACACAAGCTACGGATGACGTAGAGAGGGGTCCAGTGGAAAGAGTAACGTTAGGTTATATCGAACGGAAAAAGGGTCCACATCATCATCTACATCATTTTATGAGCCATATCATTAAGGTAGGTGTCAAACTCTGTAGAATTCCAGGCTTTTCTAACACTCGTTAAACAACTGCTGCTCTACGGTAACAAAGTAGCTAGTGTGATGTCCAACTGTACATGTGTACCATGGTCCGTTAGTGCGGTGTATAATTCCTGGTTCATTTATTTTAGAAGCAGCAAGTGAAATAACGTTGGTTGTCTGTTAATAACCTGTGAGTACGAAATGCACTTCCATTCATATTTGAAGTTGCGGATTGTTGTTCAGGTCGGAAAAATAATTCCACAGTTCCCGCCTTGAATGCACAATATCCGTGTCGCATGCAGCCACCTTAAGTGATTACATCCCAGGACGCTGCATTAACGACAACTTTAGACTGCCCACAAGAGTGTAATTTGCATATTACGCTGGTTGGCTTCCGTGGCGCGCGCCGCTAATAAACCCCTAACTTATACGGATAACTTAGCCTACAGCTGTTGGTGCCGAGATCTGATAACCAATCCAAATTTGGATGCTACTGACGAGCTATCAAGCACATTTTCGATTATTCTGAATGGTGTTCGTTGAATATATAGTATGAAGACGAACATGCCAGGTTTCATTACATGAGCGCGCATTCGGTTGAAAGTATCGCGGACTTCTATAACACCACCATCTACGTGATAAGGAATACTGCAAATAGCATGCTATATATCTGCAACTGACTGTCCGTTAACTCCTGAAACAAAGGGCAGCGACGTGTTTATTGGACAGAGACAAGCTATGAAAGTTTATTGTCGGTAGTTTCCTTCACTGTTTTACCAGATGATGAGAACGATGTCAACTGTATATTCCAGATTGGCAAGGTTTTCCTCAACAGCTCTCGGGGTTTGGAGACCTTCCAGCGTTTATCTCCTTTTCTCATCAATGACAAAATTCGGTAGGAATGGAGAGAGTGAAAGAAAAATCGTTCAGTTGTAACACCCTTCCGGTGCCCAGCTGCCATGCTACCTGAAGAAAGCACGAGTGCTGGGATACTGCCAGGTTACCCAAGCCTAGACAGGGGAAGTCGAGAGGCAGAGGTCGGGTTCGAACCACGGACCTTCCGTCAGTAAATTCGCCCTCTAACCACTTGAACCATCGCTGACGGACATCTTTTCTTGTAGAGAAGCTCTTGGAGAGCCCTCCGTGTACTCTGACACGTTTGTAAGTCTGAGAATACAGAGGCCTTATGATATTCACGAGTTTCCGGGGCATCCCTTGTTGGGGAACTCTATTAAGGGAAGAATATCGGCCGACCGACCCGAATGCCCTTTGAAAATTCAGTAACGTAGTTCTAGCACCTGACAGAATGTAAACATTTAGTCCCACCGGACCGGAATCCCGTTTACTGCTTTCGAGTGAATGCGTCACGAACCACGATAAGGCGATGAAGAACAAGTGATGCCAAGGGTCTCGTTGTGATTGGGGATAAACTGATCCGGCTGTAACTACCGCATTCACTACGAGCCCTTTTATTAGAATGGATATTATCACCGATCCTCTGCAATTGTCTGAGACTGCCTCCTTTTCCTATTTGCAGGCAAGTAGGGACAAGCGCCGACTGAGGACTTTACTTCCATTTTTGAACAATGGGGTGAGAGATGGTGCTTCAAAATAAACTTACACTGATCACCTCAAATATCCTTTCTTACAGTGCTAACTGACAGTCGTGATAGTTCTTCTGAGTAAGGACACTTCTCAATTCGCAAAACTTGAGCGTACCTATAGCCAAAAACACGCTGCTCCTGGTTCTTATCACCCATTTTCGTTCACTTCCTCGTCTTAATCCTAATAGAACTAACTCTCATGATTTCCATTTCTCGGGTGTTCTGTTAGGTTGTTTCAACCATCCGAAATGGGCCACACGGAAGTCGCTCCGTATGAAGTTCTTCAAGAATGGAAAGACGAGGTAAAAGCTTTTATTTAATCACAGTGCTCTCCCACAATCTAGAATGTGGAATTACGTTCTTACCCTGTGCAAAATTGGGTGTGCACCCAGGCCACATCCCACCGGATGGATGATATGTCATCATCAGGGTTTTTCAAGCTGTTCAATTACATCAGAGGAAACAACGCTAAAAGTGTTCGTTGTTTAAGGTATTCCTTAAACTAAACTTTGGATATTTCAGATCAGAAAATTGCCATGACGAAGCCTGTATTGATTGAAAGCAAGCCGGATCCAGAATCTGCACGTAATCGAATATTCAAAATGGGATTCTATATGTCTGCAACTGACTGTCCCTCACCTCCTGAACCAAAGGGGAGCGACGTGTTCATTGAACAGAGACAAGCTATGAAAGTTTATTGTCGGTAGGTCCCTTCACTGTTTTATCGCATCTTGTGATTGACGCCGACTAATTGACCGGAATGATCGCCTCGCGTATCTTGTCATATTGCGTGCGCTCCGAAACCCTGAGATCTGCTGTGAGACGAGCGGTTCCTTATGTTTTTTTAGAACAGTAGTCAGACAACTATTATATCAAATCACCTAGTGGGCACAAGCCAAATCGTCCTTCTGGGCGCTCGCATTTAAATATGCCTGAGAACGAAACCGTGAAACTGTGCGACTTACCTCTGACATTTACGCCTGTCATGACACTCATACTATCAGCTTCCGATTCGCATCACGTTTGTTCTTGTCTGTCGGAACATTCGTTTAACGTGTTTCATGAAATCGTATGGTAACAAGTCGTGCGCACAGTTTTTTCCAGCAGCTGTTTCCAGTCATGATTAGAACCTGAAATCCTAGGTTCATATGAATATATGATGCGGCGAAGTGAGGGTCTGTACCCGTGTGAACTGCTCTGCAATTCTTGCAGTGTAGTACACTGCACTTCAGCTAGAACTGTCGGATCCTACCAACTCGTGCGACTGTCGCGTCTTAGCGTGTTCAGATTACTTACGGGAACCTAACAGACTTATCCTGCCACATCACATTGATCCAGCCAGTTTCAATCGAGGGCCGTTATGATGCACTACTCAAGTGATGCAGCTAGATGACACGGGCATTCGCTAATGCGTGCACTCCTACACGTAAATAATGTGACTTGTCAGTTAAAGTGGATACTTCCATTTAGTAAAGCTCGTCAAAACAGTCGAGGAAAACTAGGTAAATTTCAGTGCGAGTCCCCCCATCTCAAATTCCACCCCACCCTCAAAGTCCCCTGTAGAAAATGTCCCCATATGAGTAATACGTGATCTAGACGTCTCTCTTACCATTTTTGCGTAGAGTATGCGAGGTTTCTGGATGGGAGCCACCAAGTTCTATTTCCGTTCCCTTACATCGTAAGTGATCATATGCTAACTAAGCAACGCCATACTACATTTATTACCCATAGCGCTGACTTAGACTAGGAATCTGGAAACCATGCATGTGTGAGTATTGTGTTTTCCAGTTGGAGCAACACCCGTTTGAGACACATTTAGGATATACCATAGCCTTTCTCCCCCTAAATATTTCTACCAGTGAGTTCACTTTATTCTTGCATATTCTCCCTGTACTTTGAAACTGTACTTTTACCAACCGGATTTTACTTTCATGAGATCTTTTGCGTGCCTCTTCTACTTTCATCCGTTTCACAATGTTACCTGCACTACTGTCTCCCAACTGAACTCAAACATGTGACCTGAGTAGTGATCTGCTTTAGGTACAAATCGGCTGTCTATTGTAGTCGATGCGGAGCAACTTTATTCTTCGTTACTGAATGCATTGCCAAAAATGTCCAGAATGTAGGATACATGGATGTATTCTTCACAAGGTGCGTCAGTGAAAATATCTTCGCGGTGTAATTCAGTGGTGATTGATAACTCTTCTTGTGCAGCCGCGCTTCAGACGAAATTGTTGAGACGTTAATCACGTTAATTTGATCCTTTTGCAGGAAGGAGGGGAAATATTCCACCTACCTCCTTATGTCGACGTTAGATTGAAACCAATAAAAATACCCGTGTGTGTTGCTATAGTATAGATTAGAGACTGGAGGAAACTGATATTTGGTTCGTGCTATGCAAGTAGGAGTTCTGAGGATTTTTTCGTAAATCCGAACTGTTGTGCCGTGAACAGAGCGGTTACCGGGCCAAGCTCAGGAACCGGGGTTTGGTGTGGTAGTCCTGACTAAATATCCAGTATAATTCTCAGCACATGCAGCACAACACAAATATCAATAGAACAAATTAATCAAACACGGGGGCGCAATGCAGGCGTAGTAGGAGCGGGCAACAACACGTCGAACTGCAGTGTGCGTAACATGCACACCGTGCAGTAGCAACCAGAACATCAAAGAACACTTAACATAACAGTGTCCATACGTATGATACTCTCATCGTTGGTGAAACAGCACATTGGCGTCGGACGTTTGGCTGTCATGGCAGTAATGATAAAAGCTTCCATTGTCACCAGCATCTGTTTCGAGAACGCCTATCCGTTATCCTTCAGACTCATTCTCCCCTCTAAAGAGACCAACCGAAGGAAATGGTCATCAACAACACCTGTTTATTCTCAAACAGTTGTGCATGTGTGGATTCGCATTCCATTTCAGGAGTCTCCAGTAACTATGTGAGTGGGTCATATATATATATATATATATCCATGTGGAAACCCAGGTGAAAGCGAAGAAACGCGAAGTAGAATGCAATTTTTTCGGTTCAGGTTTTGAACAGTTGATTGAAAGATTTGGACTCTCGTCCGTATATAAGAGCGTCTTGAACCGCACGATTATCTTTCTCTACCCCTTAACCAGATGATGATGATTCAACAGGTTATAAACCTACTGCTAGGCTTCTCCGATTGACTATTAGTTTGTGAAGTATAGCTCGGCAAAGCATCCAATAGCGATGCACCTGAAAAACACATCCCAGCCGGCATAGATGACGATACTGCAATACTAAGCTTACAGGGTGAGACCTGTTTCCTCTCCTGAAGTCGCAGACGAGTTCACCCCTTTCTCATGCGTTGTTCCTACCAAACATGAATAGGACCTCGCAGGCAGCGATGAACGAATTAGGCCAGCCACGAAGGTTCAGATTTACTATCCATATAGTGATAAAGCATACTGTCCAAGCGTCATTTTAGACTTAGTGACGTGCCCATTCCACAACCATGTCGCGACTTTGCTTATGCGCACCTAGCTCTGCCAACACGAGTGCTTACTTCTTCAGAAATACCTATTTATTCTCCAACAGTTGTCCATATGTTTCTGGATTCGCACACCACTTCAGGCGCGTTTCCAGTGACTGTGAGTGAGTGCCTAAACTGGCTATTATTTTAGAGTTCCGCTCGGATCGGGCTTGCTAATCTGACATCATTGGCGACAAAGAGGTAGGTCTTCGAAAAACTCAAGGGGCTTGTTTATCGGGCCACAGTAGGGGCCGTTTTGTTGTTTGGTTACGAGAAGCGACTTCTAAAAGTAGAGGGACAGATTATTCAGGTCTTCGACAACCGTTGTCTTAGAATCACAGCTTGTGTCGACTACTGCCAACAAATCCGCAACGGGACACGTAGAAAACGGTCGTTCGCTCACGCCGAAACGGATGTTTTTCGTGTCCTATTCAGAGATATGAAAGCGATTGCAAAATGTCTGCGTACTGTCGGTGCGGTTAGCCTTCCAAAATGGGGTTCGCATTACCCAGCCCTCTGTGCATATATGAATACAGTAAAAATATTGTGGTATTTAGGTATTGGACTCCTTCTCCATCCGCTCATATTCTTTTCTTCACAATAAAACCTTCAAATAAGATACGGCTGTAAGACAGCGATTTGTGATTGTTGAACAATGTCATGCTGTTGATGATGACGACAACGGTGATGATGATAATGTAGCCGTCGTACGAATCACGAGCAAACAAAACTAGAAACGCTAGAAAGCATGACTATCACGGTAACACCCAGCGGGTTGAAGTTTTGAATATCTGCTTCAAAAACTGAGCTTCGTCTTCGCTCTACTGGATATCGGAATTACATTTGATTGACAAGTACAACTAAACCACCCAATAGTTGAAGAATAAAAGGAATGACTTATAGCAACAAACACGACGCATTTAAACGTACTAAAAAAAAGATAAACACGTACAGTTAAAAATTAATTAATCGAAGTGAATTGGGGGGAACTAATTGAAAAGAAATGTAAGAAAAGAACACAGAAATTACGAATCAGGGAGCGCGAGAAACCACACCTCGTTTCGACGATTGAATAGACGGAACGGGGGATCATAGCCAGCGAAGAAGTACGCGTCAGTCTGATAATGTTTCCCCAACCGATCCAAAGAACTCCCAAGCTGCCTAGCTTCTTCATTCAACTTCCTGTCATTCGAGAAACCAGCGTACACTCTATACCAAAGAGAGATTCGGATGGTTAGATACGATCAACATAGTAGATATGGATTCGGATGTGAAACGACACGAACCTTGGAAAAAATAACAGAGCTATATGATTCATGAAGGTGAACTTATCAATATCATATCAGTCCTCTGCATTTGCAGACTAGTTTCGCCGGATGAAGGAAATTTATATACCTAGGACAAGTATCCAATTTAGTGACTGGAAAATGAATTCAAGGTGATGAAACTTTACATTTGGAAACCGATCTACAAGTGTGAACGATATGGGTGGTGGAATAATGCTATTCCTCCTGCCGTAGTAGATCTCATCTGTTAGTTTCCTCTCCGGGATAGAAAACCTAGACTATGCGAAGCATGCGGTCTTGATGTGGAGCTCGGTACGCACTCAGATGATTGAAGATTTCTACCCGTCTATCCGTATTAAGTTACTTCTCACTGAACTGTAAAACAGTGGTCACTGGCCACCTGCATAGCCACTGAAGACACGTCCAAAGTGGTGTGCATATCCGCACATATGGACAACCGTTTGAGAACAAACAGGTAATGCTGATGAAATAAGCATTCGCGTTGGTAGAGCAAAGCGCACACAAGCTAAGTCCCGAAATCCCTGGGTGCGTCAGGTCATCAGAATAATGCAAATCTTTGGAAATCTTGTGTGTTACTACACGGACATCATATGTGGCCCTTTGAGTTTGAAGATATCAATATGATGACTAGATTCACTCAGATCCTACACTTGCACTGGTACTCCGACGTGTTAATTCCACGTGTTAACGCGATGCGAATGTTTTTACGTACGCAAACCCCGATGTGTTTACAATAGTCTCGTTGAATCGCTAGCCCACCTGCATTTCTACAGACCAAATATTGGACGAATGGTGGTCCTACATGAATTAAGTAAAGCCTCCATTCGTTCATTTTCCGAACCTAACCCACGCCTCTCGACTGCTTCTGTTTAGCCTTAGAAAATCTGGCAGTATCTTATCCTTCATGCTTCCTTCGGGTAGCATGGCAGCTAAAGGGCTCTTTCTGTTTAGCCTTAGAAAATCTGGCAGTATCTTATCCTTCATGCTTCCTTCGGGTAGCATGGCAGCTGAAAGGGCTCTACAAACGAGCGGAAAAACAAACAACTACTTGAACGAATGAATACACATGCATTCCCCCAATGGATTCAAATAGAATCTCCAGACTACTTTTGCAGAGAACAGAAGCGAGCGGAGTGCAGATGACCAAAGCCGTCAAAATGTAGGCAGCAGCATCATCAAAAGTCCAGTGTCTACCAAAGAGGATTTAATCACGTGAGAGACAAGAGCACGGCGAAAGGTAATCCGGAAATGCAGCCAAATATTTGGGCAGGATAACTAAAGGGTAAATATGTGACTAGTTTTCTGAGCTACAGGATCCGCACTACCCTTGTGAATCATCGGCACAGCGGCAGTGAGCCACTGTCGAAAAGCTATCGTCCAAACGGTAGAGGTGCAAATAATAGACGCAACAACCGACGACTTAAAGAAGTATATCGACACTAATTCGCCCACCTTGGTCCTTACGAAAAACGTAGAATTCAGCTTGGACAACCTTAAGAGAAAATGCAAGTCATTCTCATTATGGGAATCTCTGAAAAATGCCGTCATAGAACTCAAATGCATGCAACTGGATTCGATTGTTATAGTCCTTGCTCGAAATGATTATTGATTTTTATTGGGTGGGTCTGTGGTGTTCTCTCTTCCCACCACTTATAATTTCCTAGGTCCATTTGGCGTTCGGTTCACTCAAACCCTATCTGGAGCGCCGTTTTACCACAGAAAACCCTGAGACCGGATTCCAGTTCAACGTAATCCAATCACGTGGTGATTTTATGGAATTCTACTCTGGTCGTATTATACAACACTCGTGTGTTGAAATTCAAGTCAAAAGATGCCTTAGCTAACAAGGTCGAAAACCCAGAATTCGACAGCCTTTTTAATGGCCTTGTCACTGACAGCAAGAAACCTGCAGCGCTCGGGTTTTGTGAGACATTCTTTACCGCCACGTGGTTGCATACCATTCTAATTCCAGCCGGATTGCTACCTTTGTGCCAAATGATGTTATCTGTGCCACGGGGCTACATCTATCCAAAAGTTGGGCAACAAAGTGATGATACGAGTAATTATTGTACGGAAAATACTAGGCAAAATAATTCAGTAAGCGAACAATACAGAGTATATAAAACTCATGAGGCTGTGGCAAAATACTGGATACAAGAAACGCAGAGTGACCGATTTAACACAAGAGCTAATGCCAACTCCACCAATCAAGTGCCCGCTCAACACATTCCAGAAAACCGAACACCGATATGCAATTAACATACCGCTTCCACAAACCGCAATTTATTGAAGTAAGGATAATAGTCTGTTACCAAATGAAACTACCAATATTTCGGAGGAAAACCCATTCCGGTTTTATCATTACTGGATTGTGAAAATGGAGTGAGAAAAACGGGTGCGATTGCACAAGTTCCGATGGACGCATGTTGCTGCTGGAATTCCTACTGGGGAAGAATGCATAGCTTAGCGTGACCCACAATAGAAAGTTCGTAATAAAAACACGCCATACAGCAAATAATTTATCAGTATAACAAGCATTCGCCTATGTGGATCACCAGTAGGATAGCATGCGGCTGTTCCGGGCAAGTAGGGCCACGTACTGGATGAAACACTCTGTTTCGGGATGCCGGAGCTACGCCATACATGATGAAGATCGAACCTACTCGTTTTTGTGTGTAAAAAAGGTTTTTCCGTGCGGTTGGCCGGACTGCCTTTTGGGAGCGCTTAGTTGTCATGCATAGCATGAATGTTGTGCTGTGTTCGCCCAAGTTGTGAGACGTAGGTTCATAAAAAGGGATTTTCTAGCCTCATCGCGGTTCGACTTAGTTGTCCAATCTCCCCGCTGTCCTTCTAGTTCTTCAGAGAACGTCATGAATGCCCGTCATCTAATCTCAATAAACAGTTTTGGGAAAATGCTTCCGGGAAAGAAGCAATGAAGTAAACGAACAATGTGGTCATGATTCGGAGCCCAGAAAGCAATCAGATGAGTCACGATTTTTACCCGCCTGTTAGTAATGAGTTATTTATGACTCAACCGTAAAATAGTATTCATTTCAGGCATCCACTCGCACTGGAGACGCGCCCGAAAGGCTGTGCGAATCCAAAAACATATGGACAACTGTTTGAGAATAAACAGGTATTTCTGATGAAGTAAGCACTCGTGTTGGTAGAGCTAGGTGCGCATAAGCAAAGTCGCGACATAGGTGTGGAATGGGCACGCCAATAAGACTAAAATGACGCTTCCACAGTATGTTTTATCACTAGTGATAGTAGTAGATCTGAACCTCCGTGGCTGAAGGTGTCAATAGGCTGGCCTCATTCGTTCACCGCTGCCTGCGAGGTCCTATTCATGTTTGGTAGGAACAACGCGGGAGAAAGGGGTAAACTCATCTGTGACTGTTCGGGAGAGGAAACAGGTCTCACCCTGTAAGCTTAGTATTGTAGTATCGTCATCTATGCCGGCTGGGACGTGCTTTTCAGGTGCATCGCTATAGAATGCTTTGCCGAGGCTACACTTCACATGCAAATAAATCGATCGGAGAAGCCTAGCAGTAGGCCAATGAATAACACAGCGGAAAAAAAAACGAAAGACAACTATCGGCTTATATCCCGTTGGATCATCTTCACCGTCCAGTTAGACGGTAGAGAAAGATGATCGGGCGATTCAAGACGCTCTTATATACAGTCCAGAATCCAGATCTTCCAATGAACTGTTCAAAACCTGAACCAAAGAAATTGCATTCCACTTTCTACTTCATTTGCGTTTCTTCGCTTCCTGTGGCCCATTTACCGCCTACTGGGTTTCCACATGGA